TTCCAAAACACCGATTATAAAATAATCCCCGTGTCGAACCGAAAGTCTTGATACCTTAAAGAAAAAAACCTCTAAAAACATCGTTATTTACGAAAGCCCTTGTACCGTACTCGATGATCATCAGAATAGATGAGCAATAAATTTTTTGAAGAGCGCGAGAAATCCAAAAAATGTGCCAGATGTTCTCATAAAGATCATTCTGTTTTAGCTTTGCAGATAGACTCTCTCTCTCTCTCTTTGCCAGAGGGGGAGGGGACGTCATTTCCCCACTTCCCCTACCTAAAGCGGCCCTAAAAAATTAAGATTTTATTTTTTTTCTTCAAAGTAAATAGATATCACTTACTACGTAGTGATATTTGATCGTCTACACACTTCCATTCCAAAAAAAAAAACAAAAGCGAAGCCCCAAAACTTCACTTTTTTGACTGATTGGTTAGGGTCAGCGGGTGTGACGATGATCCTTGAGATTTTAAATACTAGAAATTCGAATTCCTGGAGGTGAACAGGTGAACGGCTGGCTCTTCCACTGATAGACGTGATCATCAAAAATCGGTCATTGAGCTCATCTCCTTCTTGCTTATCATATCTATCTACACTGATTAGAATTTTCGACGACAGAGCCCGAGAGAGAGAGATGCTTCCTTCTCGGGACACATGCAAGAGCTCTCTCCCCGATTTAGGAGCACCGACGTGTTTTATGATCAACAAATGGTCTATGATAAGATAGTGATAAATAAATCAGTTCTCTTCTTTTTGAACGTTTCGCGTACTCGTGTAGTTGGGAATTCTCTCTCAATTCACACCTACGGGTCGCCATTTTTTGAGTAGGTAGATCATGTCAGACTTTTAAATGAGATTGAAAGTGATGAGAAGGTGGTGAAAGTATTTTTTGAACTTTTAGTTTTTTTTTCTGTTTCAGCTAGTTTTTTAAAGTCTTTTTTCTACGACTACATTGGTATAATCATACTATTTGAATTTTTTGGGTTTTTTTTAATTACGGAAATTTAGGTTCTCAGATTTTCAGTTTCAAATCTTTATTTTAAAACTTTTCATGTTTCAGGTCCTCGTTCGACAGAGGGTATTTTCATTTAATCATTTTTTATGAACCAGAATGAAAATAGTTTTCAGTCATACTTGAAAGTTCTTTACTATTGTTCTGAAACTGTCTGAAACTACTGAATAAGAATTGAAGCTTTTTTTTACGAGTATGTACTTGAGGTTTACTTCAAAACCTCTAACAGAAGAGCCGTCCACTTTGATCCAATTGATCTCGGTTCCGTGAAAGATATTGAAAAATGCTCAACTGGTGAAATAATTTTCATATCATAAAGAATCGAATGTTAGTTAACCACTTTTGATATCACTGACAAGACAAGAGATAAATTAGGCCAAATTTTACAAGTCATCAACTGTTTTGTGGAATTGAACAGCATATTAACCATTTTTTGAACTTCTTAAATTAAGATTGTTTTGAAACATTGAATTTTTTGAAATTTTTAAGACATAAGCATTTTCAATTTATATTTTCAAAGCGTCAGATACTTCTTAAACTTACCGTAAAAATAAGTGTGACCTAGAAAAATTCCGAAAAACTAGGATTTACAGTAAATACCTTAATTCTTCCACTTCAAGCTTAATTATCACCATTTCAGTAAGAGATATCAATAACTTATTAACTGATAAACTGATTATCATATTATCATCAACACTTTTGTAGTTTACCGTGTTTTGATATCTCTCACAGAAACCGAGATAATTGAGCTCAAACTAAGGCATTTGTATATCCCTAGGATTACTGTACCTTTTGTGACGTAACCAAAAATTTTTATAAATCCCAGTAAGTCCCACAATCTCCACGAAATCCCCCAACAAACAAGTCTCCCAATCCTTCTGTTCCACTTCTACACCAACTTTTCGAAAATTCTCTCATTTCATCCACCATCGCCGTCTTAAACCCTTGTCGTCGTGTCATAATCAGTATAGATCCTAGAGGAAAGATGTTAGATCCTAGAGGAAAGATGTGATAAGATATGTGCCAAGGTATCAAAGTGTACGAACAACAAAAACCGATGGATTTTTGAAATCTTTTGGGGGTATTAAAATTGCTCTGCACAAAGCTCCACCCCTCTTTCTACTAATCTAGACTTTTTCGAGATTCCGACTTGTTCATTGGCATGTTTATGGTTTGGAAACCAGTTCTAACGTCGTCTGAATTTTTACTAGTATTCCAATTTCTCATTCCTCGTCACCTTATGTAATTTCCAAAATTTCTTCTACACACACGCAAGGTCCCTTCATAGGTTACACTCTAATTATAGGTTACATCCAAAATTCTATATTTTTTGATTATTATTCTTCCCAAAATATCCAAAGAGACACGTAGCGTAGCATATAATGCCCTGTGACATTTGCATAAAAGATCGCTGATCGTCGCAAAAAAAACACAATTTCTACGTCTAAAAAATGAAGCCCTAGTAGTTGGGTGGGGTGGATGGAAAGAAACAATTAGGAGTTCTTCGATCTTTTTTGTGCGGTGGTGATAACGAAGAATTTGAATCAGAAGCCTTTGTGTCCCTTTAAACTTTAAGGTTGGCGATGTTATTCCAAATTGTGTCCGAGTAGCATAATCCAACAATCAGAAATCCTCTAGTATTTTAAACCAAACTAATTTTCCAGCGTTTCTGTTCAACTTTCAGCTTTCTAGCTCTCTTTGAACCTGAGATACAGCCATCTGAAGTTTGAGAGGCTAGAGACGCCAGACGACGAGACACACTGTGTCTCTAGCTTCCAGCACTTTAAATTCCTATATCTCGGTTTCTAGAAAAGCTTGAAAGATGAAATATGGACAGAAAAATGTAAAATTTTAAGGATAATATTTTAAAACCAGAAGTACACCAACCAAAAAGTAGTTTTGTTTCCGATAGCCTTTCTTTAAGCTCAATTAGCTCGATTTCTGTAAGAAATATCAAAATGCTGTTAACTAATAAAATGTAGATAATTTTAAGGCAAACATTTTATTAATTTATTTACTTTTGATATCTTTTTGGAAATTGAGATAATTGAGCTTTTTTCTGCTCGCGCCACAGTAGCCAGCTGTGGCACAAGCAGTAAACTCGACACCTCCAACGGTGGGTCCACAAGCTCGACTTCCCGAGAGGCCCCGCACCTTTAAACCTTTAACAAACTTGTTTTTGCCAAGAGCAAATTGCTGTTTGATCATAAAAAAACTGGGGAAAATGTCAAATTGGAATGTTTTCGAAACTTTTTTCTCTGAAAAATTAAAAATAGTCAGTGTATCATTCATAAGTTTTTTGTTCTTACCTAGATGACCCATTCTTTTTAAGGCATACTCTTTGATGTGTTAGAGACGAAATGTCGCAAGTTTTGAGAAATTTGAGAAACTTGGACCCCGCGTTTTGCGCGGTTTTTTGGGTCGTGAGAGAGCACGAGAGCACCCGGATGTGTGTTTGGATGTGTATACGATTTTAATACCGCGGCGTTTTTTGATGAGCCCGCTTGGATTTGTTGTAGTTTTAATTCCGCATTGATTCCTCGGTTTTGGCGAAGGAAAAATGTGTGTTTGAGTCTCTTTGAGAATCATAGTTAGGGTGTTTTTCGATTCACTATATTTCACGAACGATTTTCTTTGGATTTCTTGTAAGTTTATGTAAATTCCAGTTTTTTGTTTTTTTCTTGGATTTTTCATCGTTCTGAATCATATCTTTGTAGGATTCGGAGTAGATGCGTCTAGATTTTTTCTTGGTTTTTCAAGCTATGTAGCTTCTAGAGACTTTGGAATTTTTAAAAAATCTTATTTTTATCTTGTAGAATTCAATAAATGCTACAAAATCCAATTTGAACTGTTTCAAAATTTGGATTTTCAAGCGAGCTATGAGAGATACTGTAAAACCTCTCAGCCATTAACATTAAGCCAATTTATCTCATTTTCGGTAAAAGATATCAAAAAGTGGCTAACTAACAAAATGTTTCTTATAACTTCAAAATGATTTTCCCAGTTGACCACTTTTTGATATCTCTTACAGTAACCGAGATAAATAGGCTCAAAGAACACACCTAGAGGCGTGAGGCGCAACAGCGAGACATTCTAGCTTCTCTCCGTCTCCCCCAATTGTAGGTCATACATTTGTCATAAATCCCTTTGTTTTAAGATCCCATTGATCTAAAAAAACTAAAATTTTTGAGTGGGATGTGAATCAGAAATCCTCAAATGACTCGTAGTAGAAGCTTAGAGTATGACACTAAAATTTCAAAAATCTTTTTAGTGTCGTGTGTATTTTTCAAAAATAGTCTTCTTCTTCTTTTTGCACACACCTTCTTCCTCCTCCTCCCAAATTGTATGGCCTCCAGCCGGCGACATCCAACCCCACATAGATTTTGACGTCGGTTAAGAACTGCCCAGTATTTAAGCATCCATTGGGTCTTCTGGAATTTCAGAACATACTCAGAAGACACCAAACAGCCCTTAGTACCACCTAATTATAGAGTTCTCCTAAGCGACCACAGTTTTCATATCATGGACTTGATTTTTGAGACGTTAGCGCTGAAGGTGATAATTATATTTTTTCACGAATTCGAAATTCCACCTACGCCTTTTTCGGTCTCATTTTTCATTTTTCTTTTTCTTCCTATTCCTTGCTAATCAAAAAAAATTTATATATTCGTTCCAATTTGGCATTTTGTAAATATATACGAATTCGACAAAAAAACGCACCACCCCCTTCTTCTCGCCTCTTATTATTTTTTTGTCCTTTCCTTCTAATCCCACGTCATCAAGACAGAATCATCTGCTTCCAGCTCTCCTACCACAACGGACCGAACGCTGCTGCTCATCCGGCCGCATTCTCCCGTCGAAAAAATTTTGCCCCCCATATTTTGTTTAAAACGCCAACAACGAAGAATACGATATACAAGGTGTCCACTAACTGTCAGGATTTCTTCGATAGGTATACTGTGTAATGCAAACAGATGAAAATACTACAATGCCGTTGGCACGGATAGCCCGCGCATACTATCAGATGGCCACGAAAACGGTGAGTACCTTGAACTCGTGGGAACCAATTCTCCAGAATGACCTATTTCCCGGTCAGATGACGTGGGACCTTTGGGAAGGGAAATTTGAGACCCTAATGTACCTAATGTTTTGTGACGTTTCAACTCATCCCAACTCTTCTTGCAGACTCGATATTTGTTCAGTGACTCGCGGCAGAGGATCTTCGCCTATATCATTATCTTCCTTTGTTTTCTGACGCCCTCTTCCACCTCATTTGTGCTTTATTCAGGAAGTGAGTTTGAGGAAAATAGTGTGGGTTAGTGAGAGGGTGCAGAGAAGCTAGAGTGTCTCCTTATCTGCGTCTCTCTTTTTATTTTTTTTCCTTGTTTTAAACTGTTTTGAATAGATCTTGCTAAACATTTTGAAATGATTTGGACTTGTTCTACAAAACTAAATGTTCTTTAAAAAACTAGATGCTAACTTCAAAGTTGGCACTGCTCAACTTGGCATCTAGAGACGGGAAGCACCGAGAGCGAGACACTCTAGCTTCTCTGTGTCTCCTCCCTTTACCCCTTTTATTTCAAATTTACAGTACTAAATTTTCTTTATTTTCAGCAACGGCAAAAATCGAATATAAAGATGTGAATATGCTGAAGGAAATGCGATTAGAAGATAGGAAAGTGATATTCGAATTTTGCAATTTGGTCGTTAAATTCCCACAATTGGTAAGTTTCCCTTTTTCCCGTTCTCCTTTATTTTCAAATTCCATTTTTTCAGCTCATCAAAAAGATGACCCACGAGCAAGTACGGAAATCGAAGCCAATTTGTGAACAACTCTTATTGGGTATCGCCAAAGTCAGAGAGCAAGAAGCACGTGCTCATCGAGCACATATTGATAGAGAATTACAATAGAGACGAAGCTCCGTAAAAAGTATCAAACCAGCCAAACAATTCGTGCCTTAAACAAAATGAAATCTCAAAAAAATTTTTGAAATGATCTCGAATTTTCCACCCCCTTCCTATTCCGGTTTATTGTCCAGTGAACAGTTTCAAATCAGTATTTTGTGTCATCAGTGAAAAACAAACCCCCACAAAACTCCTCCATTTCAGTTCTCTTGTTCTTCAGTTGTGTATTTCACTTACGTCGTATATTTTCCACTTTTTTTTGTGTAAATAAGGTTTTCATTCTCTCGGTCGGTTTCTAAACCTTGTTGCCTTTTTTCGTTTTTTTTCTCTTTGCTCTCACCAATCAAAGACATATAAAAAATTTTGAAATCTAAAACTTTTTTTATTTATGAAATTGTGAAAAGTAACACAAAATGGGTATGAGACCTGTCAATTCAGAAAAAAAAATGAAATTGGAAACTCATGAATTCCTCGAAACAGAAAAGTTAGAACATAAAGAACTGAAATGTGTAATACAGTACCAGACAAATACATAAACCATTTTGACTTTTTCTGTAATAATAGTCAACTTCAAAGTAGTACGCAAGTAGTCCACAAATTTTCGATTTAATTGAACATCTCAGAGTATACTAAACAGAATTAGAGCTTCAATTTTGTAATTGCCAACTTTTTTGTACAAATCCCACCAAGAGATATAACGGTTTTAAAGTGGAACAACTCCCAAACTGCTATCAGTAAATATTTAAATAAACTTTTCTGCACAACAACGACACATCAAAAAGAGTTTTTTTTTTCTCGGGAATCAAAAAGATCTGCTAAAGTATAAGCATCTTTTTGAAAGCTATTTTCGGTTTGCAAAAAATGACGGGAAATTAGTTTGTTGGTTTGTAAAAGAGCACAACCAATACTCAATCTTTTTTTTCCTAAAAAAAACTTCTTCGAAATTTTGTTATATTCGTAACGTTTATGATAATGTTCACTTCAGTTGATTCATTGTTCGTAGACATTTATGAATGAAAATAAAAGCATTTCAGCAACATACAGTGTTTATGAAATAGTAAACTATACTAGTCGTTTTGGTTTAATGGATCATGGAATTACTAAAATCGAAACAAAATCTCTTGTGATAGCTTTAGGAAGTTTTCTTTGGTACATAATGCACCTGATGTGTTTTCGAGGCTATTTACCATTGTGTTCTAACTTTCGTAAGTTGAGTTTTCTAGGCCACCAACTCTTTTGGTCTATAAATATCCTGATATTTATGGGGTGGGGTTCTACCCATTTAACAAGGTGGCCTGCATTTTGCAAATTGATTTTTCTAGGACGTCGGGTCGGATTGCCTAAAAAATCTTCAGTCGATCCACAATCTAAATGACGAAAGCTATTTTTGACTTACAAAATAATGGAAAACTAGTTTGTTGGTTTGTGAAAGAACAACCGACGCTTATTCTTGACCATACTTTTTTATTCAAGAACACTGCTTCAAAGTTATGTTATGTACACTGTAACGTTTGGGACAATGCTTATTTGAACAAAAACGATGAGTTCAAAGATAAATGGTAAGATCAATCACTTCGTATTTTCCCGTTGCCACGGTGTTTTCGCGTTTCTCAGAGATTGTGTCTTAACCTTTTTTTAAAGTTTCAGTTAAGCTTTGAAGGTAAGTCCTGTACACAACAGTTCTGAAATTTTCTGAAAATATTCAACAGAAATAAAGCTTTAATTTTCTTCTGTAATACCTTTAATAGTGGGGCCTCATACCATAATTAAAACAATTTCCAAAAAGTGAGAATTTGTTTCGAATCCTCGAATTATTCCAAAATGAATAATTCCCAAATGGGTTGTAATTTTCAAAAAATATCCCAGAAAAAGGTTTACCAGTAAAGATTCAAGTTGTCTGACAAGAATATTGTGAACAATAAGATATGCTGAAGTATAAAAATTGTTATTTTTGGCTTGCAAACTGACAAAATGATAAGAAGATGAAACATTCAAAAAAGCTGTGTCAGTACTACTATCGTTAAATCATCACAAATGAATGCAGATGTCCCTAACATATTATCGTCATACACAGGGAGTCGAACCAGTTATTGGTGGGCGCGGCAGTTGCCCGCGTTAACCCCGAGACCACCGGTGTCGAGTAAAGAGGCAGCAGAGAAGGCGCATAAGAATGCGAGGGAAAGCGGGAGGCGGAGGGGGAGGACGACAAGATGGAGGGGAACTGTGATTGGTTGGGAATTGATAGTTTTTGGTGGGATTTTCTGGAATTTCCAGATTTTTTAAAAGAAGGAAAAAATAGAGAATGATTTATTTCAAAAATACAGTTTTGATCTCATTATTCAACTCAAAAGATGCGCATATTTCTCAGGCTGAAACTCTAATTTCATCTGATTCTTCTCAATTTTTTCCAAAATTTCTTTTCCATTGCTGAACATTTCAAAAAGGTCCACTCCAGCATGTACAGCAACTATCAACGCTTTTTGGTCTTCTTTGGAACATTGTATTTTGGAAGCAACACAGAAAGAAACAGGTTTCAAGTAATCTAGAACTTCTGAATCCTTGGGAACCATAGAATTAGCACAATCAGTAAATTTGGGTTCGAGGTCTTCCTTTAAAAAAATCTATAATTAAAGGTATTGTGCTCCACTGGACTTGTGGAGACGGACTCACCTCTGATAAGCAGATAAATGCTTCTCCATAAATTTGATCTCCAATAAAAACTGCGCCATCTAGGAAGTACTTTATGAAGATTGAAGTGGAACAGTTTGAGGATTTTATAAAAGAAGATATGGATTTGAAGTTGTTAATTAGGGAAATCATAAGTTTTCGGTTGTAGAGAATATCAATATTTCCGAATTCAGCGTCGTGTTGGTTCTGAAAACTGGTAAGACAGTCATGTTTGTGGCTGAAGGGCTCTTAAATTTTGAGCTAATTTTTCTCGTTTGCTGTTAGAGATATTGAAAAGCGGTCAACTGACAGAATGTTCCTCATAATATGAACAATATTTTGTTAGTTAAATATTTTTGACATATTTACTGGAAACGAGATAAAGTTATTTAAGATGATAAAATTGGAGAAAAACAGTTTAAACTTTTCAAAATGAAGTTAGTGAAGCAGAAAAAAAAAATTTTCAAGCGTCTTTTTTTTAAATTTTTAAGACTCCAGGGTTTTCAAAGATTCTAATTTTCAGATTTTTGAAAATATATGTCAGAATGATTTATTGGACTGACATAAGAACAATTTCGGATTGCCGATTTTTCGGAGAGTTTGGAATTTTCTGGAAATGATATTTCCAAAGCTGGAAAACTTTATAATTGAACAATTTCTGGAATTTAAAGGATTTTTCAGATGTCCTGGATTTTTAAATTTTCAAAAGTTTCGTTGAGATTTAGATTTTTCTAATTTTTTTGATTTCAAAAAATTCGTAATCAGAAAAAATGTATCTTTCTTTTACTTTTTAAAAATTATAATTTTCGGTAGTTTTAATTTTTCCGGAAATAATTTTGTCTGGTTGCTGAAATGTTTGGATCTCTTTGGAATCTTAAAAATCTTCAAAGTCTTGGCATTTTCAAGATTTTCTTAATTCCACCATTGAAAAATTACCTTCGTTTCCTTCAACTTCTTCACCAAATCTTGAGCTTCAGCTAAGCATTCCTTTGACCCTTGTGTTATCAAAATATTGAACAAGTCCGGAATATCAGATGCATTTGACACAGTGAAAAATGGAATCGCTAAAAAAACCAAATATAGTTTCATGATTTTTTTACAGAAAAGATATTATCGTTTCATACGATCCATTTTGCTGTTTTATAGCTTTTTTGAACAATACTGCAAATGTTGTCTATTCAAAATAATACAATTTCTCTATGAATCATTTTTTTGTTTCTTTGGAAATCAAACAGATGATGGTTGAAGAAAAAACAAAAAAAAGTCCCAGATCATGTCATATGGTACTGTATGCTTTTGGAAATTCATGGTTGTAGAATTTGATTCAAGTTTGACTTCGCAGTTTCAATGGTCACTCAAAGAGGCGGTTTTTTGACATACAAAAAGTGATACTCTTTATAACCTATAAAGAAGATATCACTAACCATAGCCAAATTTATCTCGGTTCCAGTAAAGGGTATCAAAAAGTTGTCAACAGACAAAACATTTTTGACATGATGGCCCACATTTTGTTGGCTGACCACTTTTTGATATCTTCTATAGAAACCGAGATAAATTGGCTCAAAGTTAAGACTATATTTTCAACTTGTTACATTTCCAATAAAAAAACAGTTGACTTAAGATGTCTATGAAGTATAGTAGATTTTGTGAAATGAGACTGAAATTTTTAAATTTAACTAAACAAAGATAGAAATTCAACTTTGTAGATGATATATTTTTTGTGAAAATGGGATAAACAGTTAGAAGTGGTTACGATTCGAAGCTATTTCTGGAAGTTTTGGTACTTGGTCAGTTCCAGTATATCTCATTTGGATGAATTTTTCCGAAAAAGTTGTCAACTACAATATTAAAGCTTTTGTTTAGTTTGGTATACTTGGTAGTTTTCAGATTCACAAGATTTCCCAGAATATTGAAAATAATAAAATTGAAAAATGTTTCAATCTGAAATTGTTTTCCAGACAGAAATTCGGTTGGTCAAGTTGAGGACTTTTTTCTGATGGCTCCAAAATCGAATAACTACACAAAACGGCAGAAAAATTTTTTTGGGTTGTGGTGTCTGGAAGTTTTCGTAAATTTTGAAATTTTTTGGCGATTTCAAACTCATCATGAATTTCTTCGCATTTTAGACAAACTGCTGCGCTGAGACCTGGAATTTTTCGGGCACAGTTCTAGCTGTTGTGACTGGAAAAAGTCATGTTTATTGCGGAAAAAGAGTTACTGATAGAAGTTGACTGATAAGAAAATGTCTATCACGTATGTCTTTTTTATTACCCAAGTTTGAGTTTGAGGTACCGCCGACAACGACGAACAATGACACCAGTCAACGACGACTTGTCGCGTGCTCCCTCTTCTGAGCCCTTGGAAGGACCGCCCCCGCCCACTACTCGTCCACCGCCGACCCCAGACCCCGAATCATCGTCGCCAACGAAGTCGCCACCGCGCAAGCTGCCCTTTCTGAATACTCAAAACCTGAGAAAACGCGGACGGCCCAAGGCAATCTCTGCTTCCGAAACCCATGTCAATGCCCTTCTAATTAGAGTAGCCGCTCTCGAAGCCAGAATTGAACGTCAAGATAAAAAAATCGCCTCTCTCGAAGCTACGATCAAGGCCGCTGAAACAATTTCCGGGAACAATTACGATCCACCAATTACGATCTAGCGAGCAAAGTGTCATCCCAGCTGGAACTTGCCGCCAACCTGAAGAAGCTGGAGCAAAAGTCGCATATCGCCGTCATCGAAAATTACCCGGACACGAAAGTCGATGACCAACAAGGAATTGATAAGTTATTCATTGAAAGCATTATTGAGCACTTCCCTGCCGATCTTCCCAAACCAAAACCGACCGATAATTTTAGAGTAAAATGCCGCAACACTGAAACCTATGCCCGCCCCTTGAAAGTCCGATTTTCGTCCCAAACTGATCGTGATTCTTTTATTCATAATTTCTCGAAATCCATGCGTTCTATTCCCAACTTTTCCCCCACTCCCCGACCTATCCGATGTCGCCGCGACATGACAAGCGAAGAACTTGCGGTTTTACGTGAGCTTCGGAAAAAAGCCTTTGAGGCTAACGCCCAAGCCGGTGTTATCAAATATTTCGTTAGAGACCTTACTATTGTTGAGAGCCCAAACCCCAGACCCCTTCCCAAAGCCCCTGCACAGGGAACCGCTCCCTCCTCTTCTGCCTAGGAAATTAGCCACCGGACCCGCTCGGACATCTACCATCATGATACCACATGCATGTCTCAACGTCTGTTTAAAAGTATAAATGTCCATTCAAATGTTATTGTCTGTCCAACCGTGGCACCTTGTCCCGTCTCCGATATCTCCCCGTGTCATATTGCCGCCCCAGTTCTGTCCCCCTCTCCCTTGAAACCCCTCCCTAAAACGAACCCTTTACCCGCTTCCGCAGTCAAATCAGCTGTGATAAATCTCTCCTGCAAACTCTCCAATGTCAGATCTATAGCATCTGCAGAACGCCTCCAAGTACTTCACTCTGACATGCTAGATAACCAGATCGACCTTC